TCCTCCTCCTCCTCCTCCTCCTCCTCCCCCCTCTCGGGGCGCGGGCACGCCCAGCGCGCCCATCTCTCCTTGTGCCACTGCCTTTCGAATCAGCTCCTCCCCGCCGCACCCCGGGGCGCGTCGGCAGGGCGGGCCCGATGTCTCGCCGGAGTGCTCTCTCCGGCATCGGGGGTCTAACAGCTGGCTGCTCATCCTGCTCGTCTCTGCCCCTCCTCCTCCTCCCGCTCCTCCTCCTCCTCCTCCTCCTCCTCCTCCTCCTCCTCCCCCTCCTCCTCCTCCTCCTGCTACTCCTCCTCCTCCAGCTCCTCCTCCTCCTCCTCCTCCTCCTCCTCCCCTCTCGGGGCGCTCGGCATCTCGCCGGAGTGCCCTCTCCGGCATCGGGGGTCCTCGCGCTGGCACTTCGCAAGAGCTTCCTCGGGCGGAGGGCGGGCCGCCTGCAGCAGTTGGCTCGCGCCTCAGCGCTGCGAGCCTTTGTCCTCCGAGGCTGCCAGGAGTTCCACCGATGAAGGACGGGCGGTCCTCAGAATGTGGCGTCCTTCAAGTCGCGAGCCTTCGTCCTCCAAGTCTGCCAGGGGTTCCACTGCTGAAGGACGGGCGGTTCTCAAAAAAAGCGGCCCTCGCCCCGGCGCCGAGCACGCTCGTCTTGAACAGTTGCAGGGAGTGTCTTGGATGCAGGGCGAGTCCTTTTCAGAAGGTGGTTCTCGCCTTTGCGCCGCGCACGTTCGTTCCAAGAGTTTACAACAGCGTCGAGGATTCTTATGGCTAGCGTCCCAGAAATAGTATTTTGGCACCATGCTGGAGAATCGGGGCGCAACACTTACGTATGTTGACCCGCAGAATTGAAGTCTCAGGGTGGTGTGCTGGTACGACTGCGGAGCGTCAAGGCGCAACAGTAACGGTGATTCGCGGCGTTCAAGTCCCACAAATGGTGTTCTGGCACAGTTCCAGATGTTCAAACGGATGTCTTTCAACGGGGCACTGGCGCGCGAGCCGCCCCACGGACGAGCGAGCCCACCGCTGTGGCGGGCTGTCTCAAAGGCTCCCCACCCTGGCATTCCCCGCCCTCCCCCCGACCCGTCCATCCCCTCAGCTCGACGTCGTCGTCCTGCACTCGAACCTGACTTCGCAACCACTCGCTTCCCGTCCAGTTGTTCGAGCAAAATCTGCTGGCAGCGTCGCAGACGAAGGAACTGGCATCAAGGCAGGGAGAGGTCCCAAACATCCGATGTCTCGTTTTTGTCAGCTCGCGGCCCCCCGAAGTCCCGACCCTATTTCCGGGAACGGCAATCGAACCCAGGTTGTTGTTTGACGGTCCCTGGGTCCTGCGAGGCCCCCCGGATGCCGAAAACTGTAACAACAACCTCCTCCGGCGTAATCTAGTTACGGCGCGGGCATATCTGGGGTAGGCGCGTTGACCAATCAAACCAGCCACCCTCCTCCTTCTCCTCCTCCTCCTCCTCCTCCTTTTCCTCCTTGTCCTCCTTGTCCTCCTTGTCCTTGCCGCCTGGGCCGAGGCGAGCCCTGCACGTGACGTGCTCCACCAGCAGCTGCGCGAAAGGCACCACGCTGGCCTGGGAGAGCAGCACCGTCATGGTGGCGCTGCCGCCCCATCCCTCGCGCAGCGCCTTTGAGGGGCAACGTTGGTGGGGGCGCCGGCTCAGGGGGGGCAAACCATCAAGCTGGAATCGGCGATGCATCGCCGATGGATTGGCAAAGGGCCCCCCCCGATGCGAAGCCGCACGTTCCTGGGCGGGCTGACCCATCGGGCTATCGGGACCTTTTCGGGGATCGAAGGCCGATTCGGGGGTCGATGCTGATGGGCTTGTTTTACACCACCACCACCATAAGTTGGAGGGGGGAAGGAGGTGGAGGAGAAGGAGGAGGAGGAGGAGGAGAAGGAGGAGGAGGAGGACCCCCTCCCCCTCCTACTCATGGTGGTGGTGGTGGAAAACAAGCCCACCAGATGCTACACCCCCGAGCATGCCTCCTCCTGACGGTGCCCGTGGGCCTTAGCGTGCTCCGTCAGCCCCATCTTGTCCAGGATCTCTGCCTCCTGTAGGGGAAGACCGGGCCACTGGGATCGGAGTCAGGGAAGGGAGATCGGATGACGAGAAAACCCCAGGAAGAGGAGGTCCTGGAAGAAGTGGAGGAGGAGCGAGGAGGAGGAGGAGGAGGAGGAGGAGGAAGAGGAGGACGAGGAGGAGGAGGAGGAGGATAATAATAGTAGTATGAACAATTATGCTAACGGAGTTCCCCACATAAAGAGATTAACGGTTTCGTGGGACCCATTTTCTTGATGCCCTCCTCGCTTTGGCGGGGCCCCGCTGGAAGGGGGGAGGGCTACGAAACCTGGCGAAGAGTAATGCTTTCCGCGACCCTCCTCGCTCAGGCGGGGCCTCTCTGGAGGGGTGGGAGGGGCACGAAACCATGTAAATAGTATGGTATTCCGATACCCTCCTCGCTCAGGCGGGGCCTCCCTGGAGGTGTGGGAGGGGCACGAAACCATGTAAATAGTATGGTATTCCGATACCCTCCTCGCTCAGGCGGGGCCTCCCTGGAGGGGTGGGAGGGGCACGAAACCATGTAAATAGTATGGTATTCCGATACCCTCCTCGCTCAGGCGGGGCCTCCCTGGAGGGGTGGGAGGGGCACGAAACCATGTAAATAGTATGGTATTCCGATACCCTCCTCGCTCAGGCGGGGCCTCCCTGGAGGGGTGGGAGGGGCACGAAACCATGTAAATAGTATGGTATTCCGATACCCTCCTCGCTCAGGCGGGGCCTCCCTGGAGGGGTGGGAGGGGCACGAAACCATGTAAATAGTATGGTATTCCGATACCCTCCTCGCTCAGGCGGGGCCTCCCTGGAGGGGTGGGAGGGGCACGAAACCATGTAAATAGTATGGTATTCCGATACCCTCCTCGCTCAGGCGGGGCCTCCCTGGAGGGGTGGGAGGGGCACGAAACCATGTAAATAGTATGGTATTCCGATACCCTCCTCGCTCAGGCGGGGCCTCCCTGGAGGGGTGGGAGGGGCACGAAACCATGTAAATAGTATGGTATTCCGATACCCTCCTCGCTCAGGCGGGGCCTCCCTGGAGGGGTGGGAGGGGCACGAAACCATGTAAATAGTATGGTATTCCGATACCCTCCTCGCTCAGGCGGGGCCTCCCTGGAGGGGTGGGAGGGGCACGAAACCATGTAAATAGTATGGTATTCCGATACCCTCCTCGCTCAGGCGGGGCCTCCCTGGAGGGGTGGGAGGGGCACGAAACCATGTAAATAGTATGGTATTCCGATACCCTCCTCGCTCAGGCGGGGCCTCCCTGGAGGGGTGGGAGGGGCACGAAACCATGTAAATAGTATGGTATTCCGATACCCTCCTCGCTCAGGCGGGGCCTCCCTGGAGGGGTGGGAGGGGCACGAAACCATGTAAATAGTATGGTATTCCGATACCCTCCTCGCTCAGGCGGGGCCTCCCTGGAGGGGTGGGAGGGGCACGAAACCATGTAAATAGTATGGTATTCCGATACCCTCCTCGCTCAGGCGGGGCCTCCCTGGAGGGGTGGGAGGGGCACGAAACCATGTAAATAGTATGGTATTCCGATACCCTCCTCGCTCAGGCGGGGCCTCCCTGGAGGGGTGGGAGGGGCACGAAACCATGTAAATAGTATGGTATTCCGATACCCTCCTCGCTCAGGCGGGGCCTCCCTGGAGGTGTGGGAGGGGCACGGAACCATGTAAATAGTATGGTATTCCGATACCCTCCTCGCTCAGGCGGGGCCTCCCTGGAGGGGTGGGAGGGGTGGTATGGTATGCCATGGTATGGTATGGTATGGTATGTGTGGTAGGAACTATGGTATGGTATGGTGTGTGTGGTAGGAATAATCTTGAGCTGTATGGAAGATGGAGCGGGAGGTGGGTGGGAAGGAGAGGGTGTTCTGGGAAAACAAGAACCCCACTCAGGATGTGGGGAAAAAGAAGAAGGGAAAAGAGAAGGAGGAAGGGGAGGGAGCAGGAAGGCAGGAAGGCTGTTGCACGCACGCACGGGGAAGAGGGCATTACCATAGACTCTCGGGCCTCCGCGCTGATCTCTTGGATCGGCGCTGGACCCCCTCTCCCCGGCGCGCGGAGCGCGCCAGGGGCGGCGCCAGAGGCGCCGCCAGGGGGGGGGGCCGGCGCCGACCCCCAAGATGTCCGGGCGGAGCTCCGCAAGCTTATGCTCATGCGGGCGTTTCTTCCTGCATCCTCGCGCACCTGCTCGTAGCCCTGCAGCCGGTGGCCCCCGTCGCCGTCGGGGGCGAACTGGGGCACGTGCAGCGTCCAGGCACCCTGGCTCTCCAGCAGCCACCAGCCACGTCTGCGCGGAAGGGGTTTACATCCACAGGCGCTGCGTCTCGGACTCTCTGACTGCCTTCCCTGGAAGCGCGAGACGCAGTGGATGTGAAGGGAACTCTGACCTCTTGTTATGAGTTCCGACATTTGGCCGAACGGTGGGGGATGGGGGGTCTGGGTCTGGGCCCGTGCTTCGTCGATCTGGTCCTTCCCAGTCGCGCAAGCAGACTGGGGGGTCCTAACAAGTCGCCAACATGAGTCGCCAAGGTCTGGTCTGTTGGAGGGGGGGGGGCCTTGGGGCCCGCGCCGATCGGCGAATCCATAAACAAAAGCAGCGACCTAGCGAGACCAGATGATCAATACCCACTGCGCCCAGGACTTTTCGCACGCTCCCTGACAAAGCATCTACGCCATACATGTTGTGAGCCCCAGGGGGGGATCTGCATCTTTACGGCGCACACGGGGGCCCCGGCAGTCCGGGCGAGGTCGTTCGAAGGCCGATTGGGGACGAAATTTCGCGGCGGCCGGGAGGATGGCCGAGGTGTGGGGCCGGGAGGATGGCCGAGGTGCGGGGCCAGGAGGCTGGCCACCGCTCGGACGTCCATTTCCTGTGTTTTTTTGTCGGTTTCGTGCGTTTTTTTTTTTCGCCAAATGATCAAGGATGCTCCTCGATGGTCCTCGCCGAAGGAAAAATGCACACGTCCGAGCGATGCCAAGGAGGATGGACGAGGTGCGGGGCCAGGAGGATGGCCGAGGTGCGGGCCGGTGGTCGAGCTGGCAACCAGCCGCAAGGTGCGCGACCGTCGCAGACCCCCTGGTGCCTGCAACATGGGTGTGGGCATCCAACGATAAGGCGGCCAGGGGGTCTGAGCTGGATGGGCCTCGAAAAAATGGGTGACGAGGGAGACCGACGCAAAAACTTGTCAAAACCAATCCCCAAAACCCTCCTGGGGTCCATCTGGTGCAGTTTCTCTCCCCCCGGGTCCGTGTTAGACGCTCCTGGGGCTCGAAAGCGCCCCACCGAGGCAAAAAAACGCAAACACAAAAAAACGGCACAACGCCTCGAACCTCCCACCCCCTCTCGCCAGAACCAATGTTGGGCCACCTCAGACCCCCAGCTGGCGCCAAGGTGTAAATTCAGGTCGGCATGTCCCCTTACAGGCGGATTTCAGACCAACAAAAATTAGACATACTCGAAAAATGGAAAACCAGTAAACAAATTCTGAAGAATCGTCCCCTTTTGACTATTTTTGAGCAGTAGCCTGGTCAGGTTCCACGCGGCGCTGTCGTAGTAGGTCTGCAGCACGGGGCCGTGGCCGGCATCCGCCAGCTCCTGCCCAGGCGCGCCCGCGTCCTCCGCGCCCTCCACGCACGCCTCCCCCTGAGGGGACGTGAACAGGAGAAGAAAAAAACACATGTGCTGAGCTGTGCTGAGCTGAGCTGAGCTGAGCTGTGCTGTGCTGTGCTGAGCTGAGCTGGGCTGAGCTGTGCTGAGCTGTGCTGAGCAGTGCTGTGCTGTGCTGTCTGTGCTGTGCGGTGCTGTGTGTGTGGGACGTGTGCCGGTGTGTGGGTGTGTGCGGGTGTGAAACGCGGGTGCGACGCGGCAGGGAAGAAAACCAGAACCCCACAAAACATGTGGGGAACAAAAACACACAAACATGAACTTTTGGCGCTCCGCGCGGATTTCTTGGATTCGCGCTGGACCCCCCTCCCTGGCGCGCGGCACGCGCTAGGGGCGGCGCCGGAGGCGCCGCCAGGGAGCCCAGGCGCGGATCCAAGAAATCCGCGCGGAGCGCAAACACACCTTATGTTTATGTGTTTTTGTTTCTTCTTCTTTTTCTTCTTCTTCTTCTTCTTCTTCTTTGAGTGAAGGCACCGACAGCTCAAATCCTCGACGATGGCGCCGTGAAGGCGTCGACTTGCAGCAGTTGCAACACTTGCGAGGAGGCTGCAACCCACCCGCACGGCCCTACATCCATAGACAAGGCCCGCGCCTTCTCTCGGGGGCGCGCAAACATGGATTAGCGATCCATGGATTTGGCGCGCGGACGCCAAATCCATGGATCGGGGGAGGTGCCCTCACCAAAATGCGGTCCGTGCCGCCTCGTTCGGCGGCGGAAATCCGCGATTCCCCATGGCAACGGGACCCGTCGCTAATCCACGCCCCCCTATATTATAATCCACGATCGTCTGACCCGGGAGTCTGACCCTGCCCCCTTCTGCGAGTGGCCGACGCTTTCACCCCCACGCCAACGCTTTCATCCCCACGTGGCGCCCCAAAGATTTGAACCCCTCCCCTGGGGCCAGTTGCCCGCCCCGGGTACTTGTTTGACGGTCCTGGGGCTCGGCGAGGGCCTCCCGGAGCCGAAAATCCGCCACCGTGCCTGTGGCCAAGAGGCGCCCAAGAGGCCCCAGGAGGCCCCCAAGAGGCCCGCATGGGGGCCCCAAAAGGACCCCCAGAAGGCCCCAAAAGGAAGCCCCGAAGGAGGCCCCCAAACGGCCCCCGAGAGGCCTCTCACGAGATCCCAACGAACATCCAATAGGCTTCATTCATGCCCACAACCCAGACACGGTTCATTGCACCGAAGCGGAGTCTCGCGTGGATTTCTGCCAATGCAAAATCCCGAAACGGCGAGTGAAAAACGAAGTGAGTTTCGGGTGGATTTGTTTAGTCTTCATTCCCGGCCAGAGCAAATCCGCACGAAATTCACCACGAAATCGGGAGCGAAATTCTCCAGTACACTCCGGGCCCATCCTATCGTTTTCCGATCTCTGCGATGTTGTCGCCATGGCAATCGGCTGCATACCCACAGCCCAAGCACGGTGGCGGGACTTGCCGCAGCAGCTGGATAACGGAACACCTCCCGTTGTGGTGCCGGTTCTGGCCCGAGGGGGCCTCCGCCCAGACCCAGCTTCCAGCAGCTGCGCCGATGCACCAGCGACATCGGCGATGCATCGTCGCCGTCGCCGTGGAGAGAATATGAAGGGGCCCAAGGACACACGCACAAATGAGCACACGCTAATACCGCAAATGCCCGAGTTTTGGTCTTCTCCCCCACTGCCCATCTTTTCCCAGATTTTCCTGGGCATCGACGATTGATTGTTTCTGTCTGCTTCTTCCCCTCCTGAAAATAGGGCTCATCGAGCCGCACCGCCGATGCGTCGGCGATGCGGCGCGGTCCTCCGAACCCACCTTCTCCGACCCCCGCTGCCGGCGGCGCGCCGAGGGGGGGCAACGAAAAGAGGGGAACTTCACAGTGGGCGGCGGGGCTTCTAAGTCCCTGCGCCTCCTGAGAGGGCCCGACCCCTCCCGCTTCCCCCCCCCCCTGTGGGAGGCCCAGAAGGTCTCGGCGTCGCCGGCGCGATGCGTCGGGCTCCACATCGGCGAGGCGCCGCGATCCTCCGAACCCCCTCTGCTCTGGCGCCCCGTGCCGGCGACTCCGACGGAGCGGTTAGCCACGAGTGCGCTTGGCAACCCGCACCCCGGGGGGCGGGCGAGGACCTCGAGAGAATTCCCCCGCCGCGCCCAGAGGCCCGACGGGGGCCACGTGGTGCCCCGCCAGGCCCCAACGCCCCAGATCGCAAATCACCCCTCTGGCGTAACCGCACCCTTTGTCAGAGTGAGGGGGCCGAACGGTCATTCACTGTCCCTGGGTGCGTGGCTGAAGTGGGGTGCCATGGCCCGGATTCTCGCTGTCTGTTGTCGTCGTCGCCCTCGCCCGCAACGCCTCTCTCACCCACCCGCAACCCACCCCGCGACCCGCCCGCGATCAGCCCCGCGACTCATCCACGTTTTTTTCTCTTCTAATAAACAGGCACCTGCGGCGGGCTCGCGTGTGCTTCTTCTGAGCTGCGAAAACTGCTGAAGACCCCGCCGCCTCCCCTCATTATCATTCTATCGGTATCGCTTCGCCCTCTGAGCCTTCCCCTGGCCCCCCGCCGCCAGCAGCTGCGCCTCCAGCGCCCTGCTGGGAAAACCAAACGGCACCAACACCGTCACTCCCCAGACCTCTCCCAGGGCGCCCTCTGGCCAGCACTCCGAAGCGAGTCCAGCGGTGGCGGCGAGGGCCCCTCCAGGATAGGCCCCCAGCGGCGAAAGCAGAGGCAGGGCAGCGGCATCGCGGCCTGCCCGATCCGACCCCACCTTGGCCCGATCCGATCCGCTCCGATCCTGATCCGGCCCGACCCGACCCGATCCGACCTCGACCCGACCCCGACCCGACCTCGACCCGACCCGACCTGCCGCGCGCGCCGTCCACCAGGAACGTCTGCCACGAGCCGGGGGCCAGCGGCGGCTCGTGGGGTCGCCGCTGCTCCCCGGGCGCGGCGCCCGTGCCGTCGCCCTGGCCCATGGGCCCCCAGGGGCGGGGGGCGCTGCGCGAGGGGCGGGGACGGGAAGGGGTGGCGGGCTCAGCCCTCCTCGCGCCGTGGCTTCCCTTGCCCGGAGGGGAGAGAGGGCTCCAGAGAGGCCCAGTCCAGCCGGGAGCAGGGTTCTGCTTAAAATCGGGCCTGTCCCTTCTCAGGTGGAATGTCGGGCGAACAGTCAAAGGTGCTCAAAACAGACTCCCAAAGTGTTCAAAAATAGTCAAGAAATATTCCCCAAACTATCTTTTGACTATTTTTGAACATTCCCCCTGTAGAGGCACGGGCCCGACTTCAGGTTATACGGAGAGCGAGCGCTCCGTACGGACGTGGCGTCCTGCCAGGGAAAGGCGGAATCCAGACGGACAAGGCCGTACGGATAACGAAACACTCCGCATGTGCGGGCCACCTAGATGGGGTCGGAGCAGACGGGGTCGGAGGACCGCGCCGCATCGCCGATACATCGGCGATGCATCGGCGATGCATCGATGATGCGCTGATGCATCGTCGACGTCAGAGATGCATCGGCGACGTCGGCGATGCATCGGCGATGCGGCGCGATCCTCCGCCCCCACCTGCTCTGACCCCATCCAAGAGGCCTAAAATATGGACTTGCTCCGTAGACTTAGCCTCCGCCGGAGAGTGCAGAATGACCACGAAGGTCCGACGGTCAAACCACGACTCAGTGGATGCTTGCTGCCGGCGTTGGCCGGGGCGGACAGACCCGGCCATCCTGGGCAGGCAGGAGCAGGCGAGAGAAACCGCCTGCGAGGGGGCAAAACCTCAGAGCTGCACGCGTTCCGGGACCAGCGGCAGAGCGAGACAGAAGGTCGCAGACCACCTCGCGTCGTGGACGAAACCACGGGCGATGTACGGTCTTCTGCAATGTTCGAGCTCTGGGGGCTCTCGCCAGGCACGGGGACCGTTAGACGACTACTCAGGATGAAGAGCTGGCCCAGGGGAATGATGGGTCGAGACCTCCGTGGGTCGACGCCGTGAGACACGCATGACGTTGGGAGTCTGGGACGGGAGGCGGACCCGAAGCTCCGACGATACGATCTGTCCAATCGGCATGTTTTTCGTCGACTTCGGATGCTGGGATCGGTTATGTCTGGGGCCACGGATTGAAGAGCACATGACGCAGCACGTCTGGGGAGGAGGAAGGGGAGAAGCGGCAGGGAGAGAGGGGACAGGGCTCCCTCCTTCCTCGCCTCCACCTTCTTCTTTGTCCCCGTCTTGCCTCCTCCTCTTCCTCCTCCTCCTCCCCCTCCATCCTTCACGATCCTCCTCCTAGGCCTCAATCAACCCTCCTCTTCCTCCTCCTCCTCCTCCTCCTCCTCCTCCTCCATCCTCCGACCTCCCTCCTCCACAGTCCACCATCCTCCTCCACTCTCAACTATCCATCCTCCTCCCTCCATTCCTTTTCCTTACAAATGAATTCTCCCTGACGCACCCCGAGGTCCAATTTTAAGGCGGGCCGGGCGCGTCGCCTGAGACTTCCTCACAATGTATGGCTCTGAAGCCTGGAAATTGGCAACAGCTTCACACATGAAGGGCGGGTCGTTTTCAAAATGTGGCTCTCGCATTTGGGCGGCGCACATTCGTTTTGAACATTTGCAAGGATTTCGCTGATTGAGGGCGGGTCGTTTTCAAAATGTGGCGCTCGCCTTTGCGCGGCGCACATTCGTTCTTAAAAATAGCAAGAAGTTCACGGATTGAAGGCGACCCGCTTTCAAAATGTGGCTCTCGCCTTAGCGTGGCGCACATTCTTTTTAAACAGATGCAAGGGTTTCAAGTATTCAGGGCGACCCATTTTCTAAAAAGTGGCTCTCGCCTTAGCGCGGTGGACATTCGCTTATCAAATAAAAAAGAAACACTGCAAGAGCTTCACATATTGAGGGCGGTTCCTTTTCAAATTGAGGCTCTCGCTTGGGGCCGCGCACACTCGTTTACACACTTTGCAAGAGTTCCACGGGTCCCCATCATCAGCGTACCAGGCATGGTGTTTTGAAAGAAAACATGATTGTGCGGGCGCAACAGGTACATTGATTTAAAATCCCAGGACTGGCGTTTTGGCACGTTTCAACATCGCCAAAACGCAGCAGTCAGCTTGACCCGTGGCAATGGAATCCCGAGAACAATGTTCCGGCATGCGTCAGGAACTTCAAACGGTTGTCTTCCAACGAGGAAGTTCCCTCAATGGAAATAAACCGTTGTAGGGGCCTATGAAGAGGGAGCTTGGAGGGAAGGCTTATGCCAACATCGTTGATGACTCTTGGGTTTGCACTGGTCCTCCTCCTCCTCCTGGTCCTCCTCCTCCTCGTCCTCCCCCCCTCTCCTCCTCTTCCTCCTCTCCCTCCTCCTCCTCCTCCTCCTCCTCCTCCCTCCTCCCTCTCTCCTCCTCCTCCTCCTCCTCTCTCCTCCTCCTCCTCCTCTCCCTCCTCCTCCGCTCTCCTCCTCCTCCTCCTCCTCCTCCCTCGCTCCTCCTCCTCCGTTCTCCATCCTCCTCCTCCTCCCCCCCCTCCCCCCCTCCCTTCGTCCCACCCTCTCTCCTTTCCTCCTCCTCCTCCTCCGCCTCCTCCGCCTCCTCCGCTCCTCCCTCCTCCCTCCTCCTCCTCCTCCTCCTCCTCCCTCGCTCCTCCTCCTCCCTCGCTCCTCCTTTCCCGCTCAGGGGAGGGGCGGGGGGGCACGACGGCGGGGACCCCCCCCCGTGGCCGCAGCGCCGCGGGCGCCGCGGCGGGCGACCGCTGCGGCCGCTCGAGCCACGCGCGCGCGCGCGCCCGCTCGCGCGGGACGACCTCGCCGGGCGCCCGCGCCGCGGCCATTAAAACGACGCGAAGATCGGGACCAAATCGGATCGGGATAACTCGAAATCTCTGAGAATCGGCGGGTTTGGAGGATGTATTGGGCGCCGCGGCCGCTCCAGAGCGTTCCGGAACGCTCTGAGAGCGCACCGGAACGCTCTGGAGCGATTTATCCCGATCCTAGCCCTGTTTTAGCCATGCCATGGGACGCACAGAGACATGCTAGTACTGGATGGTCTCCTCGGAGGCGCGCGTCCGACCCGAACGCGTACGTCGGGCTCGTGTCGTGCCGGCTTCGGCGTTGGTGTCTGACGCCGCGGGGGTCGTTCCACCTTGGACGATCGGCCGCTTCCGAAACGTCCGAACCGTTCCACATCGAACGATTCTGCGTCGCCCACGGCGTTCAAAGTTGAACGCCGCTTGCAGGGTCGCCGCCAGTCGACACGACACGAACACCTACTGTAGTGGACCCACCTTGCAGTAGATCCTTTCCCGAGCGGTGTGGCCAGAAAGTGCACATCAGGATTTCTCGGTGCGCGCGTCGCCCGTGGTGGGGCGACGCACATATAGTATGAGTATGTTGGGGTGACGCTGAGGCCAGACCCCGAGATCCAGGGGGTGCAATGACAGCCAACCCGTATCATACGGACGCACGATAAAAATGCAAGGGCCATGGAAGTGCCGTTTCGAGGCTTTTCGAGCGGGGCGCGGCCAGCGAACGTGGCCGAGGATGGACTAAGGAGGCAAGGATGCAAGGGGTACCCTATGGAAGGTTGCCCATGCTCTTACTATGCGGGTCGACTATTATTTCACAACATTGGCGGCGCGCGCAACGGGGCAGGATGACGGGGGGAAGGCTTCTTAGAAAGAGGCGGCTTCTGAGAAGGCGCCGGCCCTACTTCCATAGACAAGGCCCACGACTCCTAAGAAACAGGGGTGCTTCTCAGAACCCTTCTCCCTCTCCCTACCGCCCCCTGCGCGTGGCCGACAACGAGCACTCCCGCCCGGTTGCGGGCCCCCGGACTCTCACACCTCAATCTGTCTCGAGAAGCAGTACAGCAAGATAGGGACTAGGGCTCCCGTCGTGATTTTTTCGCGTTGGCATTCGTTTGCAACGCAAGATCTGAGGGTGGCGGGCACCGCCACCCAGCCCACGACTCGAATTGGCAAGGCCTCGGGTTCCGCAAAGACAGCTCCTTCAACAAGGGCTCCCAGCTTCGCGCTTCGCGCTGCGCGAAGCGCGAAGTGCGAACAACTTCGCGCTCTCGCGCCGCCTCCCAGGGGAGAAGGGGAGGAAGAGGAGGAATCGGAGCCGAACCGCGAAGCGCGAAGCGCGAATAACTTCGCGCCCTCGAGGGCGCCCTTGTTCAAGTGGCTCCGGCTGGCCTCAGCATGCCTCCCGAGTTGCCCAGGCTGGCCTCAACAGGCCCCCCGAATGCTCCGCGGCAGTCCCAATCAACACCGCGTTCTTAAATTGGGCGTTGCTTAATGGGGGGGTCATAAATGGGGGGGTCAGAAACGGTCCCCTTTCGTGCCCCTTTCGGGCCCCTCCAGACCCCCAGGGGGCTCGTTTAGGTACCGTTTGGGTACCTTTTCGGACCACCCTCGCCACCCCCCTATTTATGACCCCTCCATTACGCAACGCCCAATTAAAACTTTATGGCGCCGCCTCCGGCGGCGCGCCCTGGGGCGCTCCGCGCCCCCCGGGTTGAGGTGTTGACGGCGCTACACGGGGGGACCAGCTGCGGGGGATAGCCCTTCGCAGCCCGAGGCGATCGGTTCGACTTGCAGCGGTCGCAGAAGTTGCAAGTTGGTTGCAACCCTACTTGCAAGGCGACTGCGGGTGGCCTGCAAGTGCACCTGACGGGCCTCAGCCTGAGTGAGCCGCGGACCCAACCGGAAGCAGCCGGGCGGACCTGCAACCCACTTGCGGGTGCCTCGCAATCGGGGGATGGACAGACCTCCCTTTAGTAAAGCGTGGAGGCCCAAACCTGGCGGGCGCAAGCCTGGAACACAACGGCCGCGGCGAGCTCTCGAGAGCCGAAAACGGACAATTCGCTAATCGACGTGCCGCTGTTGGGGGTTCTCTCCACCCCCGATGCAAGTGGGCTGCAGCCACCATGCAACCCCTGCCAATCACATGACCACTGCAGCGCCAGCTCGAGCCGCAAGCAAGAGCGCCGCGGGAGAGAGCGCCTGGGCGGCGCGCGGCCTCTCCCGGGGGGCCCTGCCGCGCGGTCCCCTCCTGAGCCCGCCTGGCGCCGGAGCGAAAAAACGACGCGAAGATCGGGACAAAATCGGACCGGGACAACTCGAAATCTCTGAGAATCGGCGGGATTGGAGGATGTATTGGGCGCCGCGGCCGCTCCGGAGCGTTCCGGAACGCTCTGAGAGCGCTCCGGAACGCTCTGGAGCGATTTATCCCGATGCTAGCCCTGTTTTACGAGCCCGTGCGGCAGCCGACGGGGCAGCCGATCGGGCTCAGCCCCGACAGGGTCGAGGGACTTGAGCCTGCGCGGCCGCCCAGATGCTATTAACGGGCGAAGAACGGTACAAAATAAACTTTTTCGCAGTCGGGGACACCTGCCCCAGGGCGGCTGGAAAGTTTGTACCCCATACGGTGCCACCGTAAGGGTATAAACTTTCCAGCCGCCCCGGAGCAGGTGTCCCCGACGGCGAAAAAATATGTTATATACCGTTATTCGCCCGTTCATGCTAGGCCGGGCATGTCCTGTTGTGACTACTTGTGTATGTTCCTCCTGTAGAGGGGCGTGCCGGGCTTCGGCCCAGTGGGCTCGATCGTGGGTCGTACTGGGGCGGCGGACTGGGCTCGGACGCCGGATGGGCTCAGCGAGGGCCTCTGGGGCTGCTGGGCCCCTGGATCGGGGAGACGTAAGACCCGGGTACGGGGGACTCGGAAATCCCCGACGAGGTCGTCAAGAAAATGACGAGACGGAGCCTGCATTTTGACGAGGCCTCCCGCTGCAAACATCCCACAAAACTCCTCCTCGTCAAAATCCGAGTCGCGGTCGTCAAAAAACGATTGCGAACCCGAGTCCCGGCAAACCCGGGTCTTACGCTCCCCCGACTGGAGCGTCACAAGACGGGAGCTGGGCCGGGGCAGTGGGCCGAGACTGGGCCGAGCGGTGGGTCGAGAACTCGGGGGGTCGACGTTGAGAACAAGATCGGGGCGCCAGGGGTCTGGGGAGGGGAGGGGAGGAGGAAACAGGTGCACCATCTGATCAGAGCCCGTGCAGCGTCAAAAGGGGGAGCAAGGGCGGGAAAGGGGGGGAGAGGGTCGTCGTTGGACCCTTCCGCTCTGCTACACGCTGGGCCCCTTCACGTGTTCGGTTCCCTCGGGCATCAGCGCGAGGCCCTTGCCGGCACCAACGCCTTTGAACCAGTGACAATCATACTCTGGTTCGGTCAGCCCTCCGAGCGCAAGCGGTTGCGAACTCGAACTGCGGGAGCAGAACAGGAGGGAGCAAGATAGTAAGAAGGCATCGACTCAGGATGGCAACGAGTGTTGCAGCGCAACCAGTTCACCGGAATGCGCAATAAGAGGAGGCTCAAGAGAAGAAGGAGACGGCTGGAGGAGAAACAACAACCATTGGGCCCAAATACCACCTGTCGCTATTCACTACCGGGTCAAGCAGCTGAATGTTTGAAAGACGTCTTCGAGGTGGGGGTGGGGGTGGTTGAGAACCTACATCCGGCCTGCCCGGAACCAGACTGCAGCTCGTGCTGCATCTCCGAGGGGTAGCAAGACCATTTCGCAGCTTCCTGCCCCTGATCTGTTTCGCCCACCTGGGCACGACCCCACTCTTAGACCCTGCTCCGCCTCTGCTTCTGAGACCCGAGACTTGGCCCGAGCATGAAGTCGGGCCTCCGAGAGGCTCCAGAGAGGCCTCCCAAGAGAGATCCCCACAGGCATCCAACATGCCTCTGATCTGCAAGCTGTGGCGGAATATGCCGAACACCACAGGCCCGGTGGCTTGGCACGGGGGTGCCCGGTTGGCTTGCCACAGGGGTGGCCGGCGTGCCAGACTTCAGATTTTTTTCAACGTATAAAACACCTGGGGGTTCGATCGATGCCGCTGGCCACCCGAAGGCCGCTGAGCTACACAAAAAAACGTCTCCAAGATAACCTACATGGCATCTAAGACCTCCAAGATGGCCTCCAGATTCGCCCAAGAAAGATGGCCTCCAAGACTGCCCAAGAGGGTCCAAGATGCCGCCACGTCCGCCCAAGAAGCCTCCAAGACAGCCCCTGGGGCCCCCGAGAGGCATCCAAAACGGCTTAAGAGGCCTCCAAGAGGTCCTGCAGGAGGGCCCGAAGGGACCAAACTCATTGATGTTCCGTTGGATGATTTTGGCATCTGCTTCTTTTCGGCCTTCCGACGGCCGCAGACGGTCCAAGAGACCCCCAAGATCGCCCTAAGATGGCCCCAAAGGCCTCCAAGATGACCCATGACAGCCCATGAAGCCTCCAAGACGTCGCCAAGACGGCCCAAGAGGCCTCCGAGACGCCCAACATGGCCTCCAAGACGACTCTGAAGCGCCCAAGGAGGGCCCCAAGCCGGCTCAAAGAGGCATCCAGTACATCCCCCAAAGGCTCCTAAGAGGCCCGAGGAGGCTCCCAAGAGGCCTCCAAAAGGCTCCCAGGAGGCCCCAAGAGTGCCCCAAGAGGCTCCCAAGAAGCCTCCTCCAGCTCCTCCAGCTCCTCCTCTTCCTCCTCCTCCTACTACTCCTCCTCCTATGTTTCCTCCCTTTCCTCCGCTTCCTCTTTCTCCCCAGCGTGTTCCCCGAAGGATTTCCACAGCGGCTGGGGGAACACATGGTCCGATAGCTTGGCAGAGTCCTGGCCACGACGTTCGGCCACATGAGCGATTCCAAACGGCATGGGGCGGCGGTGATTCGCCGCAGGCGTCTTGGATGCGCCGCCCCCTGTTGGCTTGCCACAAGGGTGCCCGGCGTGCCAGATCGGTAGGTAGTTGTTGGTTAGCCACCAAGGTTGCCAAGGGTCTTCGGCTCAACCTGCCGGCCACCCGGAGAGCCGCGTGAAAACATAAACATCGATGCCCGCCGAGATGCCTACAGTACGGCAGGATGACCCAAGATGGCCTCCAAGACGGTCCCAGGGTGTCTCAAAGACGGACCCAGATGCCCCCAGGATGGCTTCAAGATCGTCCAACACGGTCCAAGAGGCGTCCAAGACGGCCAAGAGGCCTCCAAGAGGACCTCCAGGAAGGCCCGAAGAGGCCAGCATCATAGATCTCCATAGTATGTATTTGAAAAAGTTGAGCGTCTGCCCATTTTCGGCTGTCCGGACGCCGGAGACGGCCCCAGGAGCATCCAGGAGAACTCCGAGATGGCCGTCTGACGGCCCAAGAGGCCCCCAAGACGGCCCCAAAAGGGTACCAAGACGGCCCAAGACACCTCCAAGGCACCCAAGATGGTCTCCAAGCCGGCCCAGAGAGGCCCGCAAGACGACTTCCGACGACGTCAAACGGGCCACGAACGCCCTGAGATGGGCCAAGAGCATCCCAAGGAGCACCAAGAGGCCCCCAAGAGGCCGAAGAAAGCCCCCAAGAGGCCTCCAAGAGGCCACCAGGGAGCTCCAAGGAGGCTACAAGAGTGCCCCAGGAGGCCTCCTCCTCGTTTTTTCCCCTCCCCTCCTCTCCGTCTTTCTCCAACACGTGTTCTCCGAAGGGTTTCCATGACGGCTGGAGGAACACGTAGTCCGATAGCTTGGCCAAGCTCTGGCCGCAAAGTTCGGCCACATAAGGCTCTTCCTGAAGGCAGGGGGCGGCGGTGATTCGCCGTAGGCGTCTTCGTTCGATACTCATTAGGGTGCTCAATCCCGTCATCCGGCATTGTCATACTCCTCCTCCTCCTCCTCTTCTCCTCATCCACCTTCTCCTCCTCCTCCACCACCTCCTGGTCACCATCATCACCACCACCATCACATCAATATGAATGTCCTTCAATATCCTACTTCTCCTCAGGACGGCCTCACAACAATCGAATTCTGCCCAAAGCCGGCCGAGGTGTCACATGTGACCGCCTAGGCTTTGATCCAACCGATGCAGAAGAGCCTGTCAAATGTTCCGGCTCTCCAAAACTTGCCGGCAAAAGGTTGCACACTTTACAATTTCCTGTGCGCCCCTGGCACATACGCCAGCCAGAGTGCTGAGATGACACGGTGGTGGGACTTTTCGCAGGCAGCTGGATAGATAGACGAGGATCAACGCGCGCGCGCACATGGGGCCTTAGCCTCAACTGGAGAAATTGCGGTAGCAAAACTGCGCGGCATCGGTGGCTCGGCTCGATGAAAAATGCTCTCTCCTGGACACCCTCACGGCAAGATGTTGCGCGCCTCGATGTAGAAGCGCTTCTCGTTGGCCTCGCCCATGCTGAAGGCCTTGCGCGGCAACGTACCGATGGCGTGCACAGTCTCGAGGAACCGAGACTTGTCGAGCTTGGGCAGCAACAAACCGACAGCTTTGCCCTCCTTCACGGCCTCGTCGACCGGCTCCTCGCCGTGAACGTAGCCGATCTTCACCTCCGGGTGCGAAGCCACGAACTCGTCCATGGGCTCCGTCATGGACACGATGGGCAACTTCTCCAGAGGCGGCACCAGTGTGAACCTTCCCTCTGGCCTCACGATGACGACGGAGTGAATCGGCTGGGGGCTCACGAAGGGAGTGGCCTTGCAGCCCCAGGCCGCCTCGAGCGTCGACTGGATGTCATCTGCCTTGGCGCCCTCCAGGATGCGGTGGATGGGCTCAAAGACCACGCCGTCGTCGTGCAGGTTCTGGAGCTCCACGAGCGCGTAGCGCGCTGGGTGCGTCTCCTTGTCGATCCCTGGCTGAGTTTTGAGGTTCTCCCAGCAACTCTTGGCGGTGGCGAGAGAGTGGTTCCCGTCACCGATGAGGATGGTGGACGGCTTTCGCTTGGCGGCCTCGGCAGCGGCGAACTCCTTCGCAGACAATGCCTTCATCGCCGATGCCACGTGCTCGGTACCCTTCGGCGTGACGGTAAAGCCCTTGACGGAGCCGGCGCCCTTGAAAAGATTGCACTCGTACTCCGGCACCGTGAGCCCCTCTGTGGTGAAGAGCGGTTCGATCACGGTCTTGCCGGGATCGTCGATGATCATGATGATGTGCGGCAGCTCGAGCGGGGCGTCCTTACGGATGGCGATGCGTGGGGGAAGCCTGGCCACGATTGTCTTCTCCGTGGGCCGGATGAGCGTGGGCTCTGGGCAGTTGTAGTTGTACTCGTCGAGGTCGACTGCCAAGATCAAGCCCTTGCGGGTCGGGACCTGCTCCGTCTTGCGGTCGAGGGCCAGGAACGCGGGGGCGCGCTCGCGGAAGACGCCGTCGGCGACGTACTGCTTCATGGTCTTGCCGATCTGCTCGATGCGCTTGGTGTCTTCTGATGGGTCTGCCCCGGTGACGGACGCGAGGTATACCTCGGGGAAAACGATGTTCATCGCCGACGGGACTCCAGCGGCCTTAGCTGTTGACTTCACCAATTTGCATGTATCGGAGAGACGTAAGACTCGGGTACGGGGGACTCGGGTTGGCAGGAGGGGGCCATCATAAAAATGACGAGCGCCAATCTGAAGGTTGACGCGAACTCCCGCTGCCAGCATCCCACGACAACTGGACCGGCAACATCCAGCACGCGCTCGCCAAACAATGCCGGCAAGCCCGAATTCTGGCTCACTCGTGCCTTACGCCCCCCCGACTGTAAGCAGCACGCCAGAGAGTGAGAGAGCGAGTGTCCGGCCGGCGGCGCCGATACAGCCAAGAGCGCACGAAGCAAAACGCGATGCAGACGGGGAGACAACGGGCAGCAGGCAGGCCACGGGCCGATCCCCAGACCCGGAGACGAAACAAAAACGAACAAACAGCAAACAAAACGGCGCCCGACACGCACGAGAAACATAGATCCTCACATTTTGAAGGGGCCCTGGGACACACAAATAAATACACACAAATAAAAAAGAATCCCCACATTTTCCCACATTTTCTTAGTTTTTGTCTTCCCCCCCACTCCCCATACTTTCCATATTTTCCTGAGAGTCGACGATTAATTGTGTCTGTGTGATTATTTCCCTCCTGACATTTGGCCGCCCGAAATGGGCACGGAAAGAATGGGTGCAATGCCCAACAGCAAATGTCGTCCCAAACCAGCAGCGGCCGCTGTTGGGCAGGCGGCCTCCTGTCTCAAAGGGACACAGGCCGCGGCGGCGCGGACAAGAGTCCTGTGCAAAATGAGCAAGAACTGCTGTTAGTAACTTTGTACCCATTCTTTCCATAATTATCCACTTCGCTCGTGCCGAACCACAAACAAGGCCCTCGGCGTTTCCAAGTGCATCTGAGGCCCCGGCGTGCTCGGCCATCTCCTTCCAGTACGCCGGCTCAGACTCGAACTGGTCGCAGGCCACCGTCGCCCACTTGTCGAGGGAGATGTCCGCGCGCGGCATCAGGATCTGGGGCACGCAGATCGGCAGCCCATCGAGGATCGGCTCGCCGAGGGAGGTGGACTTCGAGGACGCCATCGCGCGGGCGGGCGACACAACGAGGAGCGCTCGAGGTTTTCCTGTGGCCAGAATGGGCCCAAACGGCTACGGATCTCAGGAACATCGACGACCATGATGATGGCCGGCAGTTCCAGGGGCGCATCCTGAAGACGGGCGGAGCCAAAAGGATGACGGGTACGACTTCCTCGTCGAATCTGCACGTTTTCCTGAACAACTCTCTGAGAACTAAGAGGGAGTTAGATTAGATAGCCAGCAGCGCAGGGTAGCCCTGGAGCTCTTTCCGGCGCGGGTCAAGCAGCGTCGCGGCAGTTTGCTTGAAGCTGCAACGTGTCCTGGTCCGCGTTTTCCGACTCGTTCCCAATGCGTGTGCCGGAAGCCTTTTCCGCAGCTCCTTCGAAGCGCTTCCGGAGCTCCTGCGAAACTCCTTTCTCGAGCTTGCACGCTCCCCAGACATCCTTTCAAGAGTTCATGCTGGCGCCCCCAAAAGGCTTTCACACGCTTTGGACTGACCCGCTACCCAAATTTTGGACGCCATAAATGCAAACTTACTCGAGCTGCAACGGCGCAGAGGAAGCCGAGCCGTATTCCTGAATCTGACTGGCTCACCTTTCGCGCCCAATATCTGCGACCATGTCCACCCGAAAAAGGTAAGCTATACGCGGACAGCCTGACATGTCTGGCTGAGGGGATGCGAATGTGAACGAGTCTGAATACGAATGGATACCTCTGGATGGGTCTGAGTATAAGTCGGCCCGAACATGAATGCGTCTGAATACATACGAGTCTGAGTATGAGTGGGTCTGAGCATGAGTATCTCTGACTGTGATCGATTCTGGATCTGAGTACAAGCAACTCTGATTATGAGTGGTGAGTTTGAGTTCGAGTGGGTCCGAATGCGCATGCGTCTGACTAGGATTTGCTCGGAGTGTTGGATGACTGGGTCTGACCATGGGTGGGTCTGAAGAGCCAGGTCTGAACATGAGTCTGAATGTGAATGAGTCTGCCGAACGACTGCCATGCAGCAGGGCCGACCCAGCCGTGCGGAGCGAAGAGGGGACCGAAAACGGCACCGATACGAGTGGCGACAAGCTCCGAAAGAGCGCGAATGATGCTGTGTCCGTAATGTGCAGCTCCTCATCCCGCTCCTCCTCCTCCTCCTCCTCCTCCTCCTCCTTCTCCTCCTCTCGTGGATAGGCTTGATACTCCCAGATGCTTTTCTGCACTACTCAACCCGAAGCCTGAGGTCGCAGCCTTCGTTGCCCCTGACTCGGCGGCCGCCCCTTTTCCCCCTTATCGGGCTCCATAGTGCCTAACTCGCATCGCTATGGCCCAGCGCTCGCTTCGACCAATCCGCGCGTTCACCGAGTCCGAGAGACACGAAAAGATTGCTTTTCCTCATCTCCACCCCTCGCCCGCCTTCACTCCTGGAACCACCTGGGGCCTCCTCCACGGCTTTCAGCCGTCGCCCGTCCTCTGCAGAAGTGGTCATCAATGACGTCGACGCCACTGCAAGATGGTGCGCCCGCTGCGGGAAATGCTTCGAGAGATTCCCACCCGAAGGCGCGAGGCGGGATCCCGAAGGTTAGGTCGGGCCTGTCCCCTTACAGGCCGATTTCCCGAGACAAAACTCGAAAAAAACCAAACAAATATTCAAAAACGATGAAACAAGTCGCAGGATATTTTTGTTGACCAGAATATCCCTCCTGTGGAGGGGCAGTCCTGACTTAACCCAAGGAACATCGGCACCCTTGGGGCCTGGCGGCGGCGGCATGCAAGCGTCACTCTTCAGAGACTCCGGGCGGGATCCCCAGAGAGCACCGGCACACTTCGAGCCTGGCGGTCGCAGGATGTATAGAAGAACAAAACAAACCAACAAAAACATAAACATAAACTTTTGGCGCTCCGCGCGGATTTCTTGATTCTGACCCCCCTCCCTCGCGCGCGGAGCGCGCCAGGAACGGCGCCAGAGGCGACGCCAGGGGGCCCAGGCGCGGATCCAAGAAATCCGCGCGGAGGTGGGTCAGGAGCTCCAAATCTAAACAACCCCGCTCTGTCTTGTGGGGAAACACTATCGTGAACACGTGGAGCTTTGGAGCACCGCTTATGGAGGCGAGTCAGGCGAGGCAACGTCGGCGGACCAACGGACGTGGGCGAACGCGCAACCGAGAAGGGTACCTTGCCGGATCGGCAACCAGGGGAGGCTCGGGAGGTGGCCCGTGCCAGCGTAAGCGTCCAGAGATGGGGAGGAGAAGGTTGGCACGACCCGATCGGACGTCCCATCGCCAAGCCAGCGTCGGCCGTTTGTTCCTCGACTGCTGCACGGACTGCTGGCGGGGGCGAACGACGAGAGAGCGCGGAAAGCAGTCATCTCTGCGCGCGCACGCACGCGCACAGGCACGTACAAGCACGTGCTCGCGCGAGCACACTTACAAACACAAACACACACACTCATATAACACCCACACACACAACACACAACACACAACACACAACACACAACACACGCACACTCATATATAACACTCACACACATACAACACACAACACACGACACACACACACACAACACACACACGCACACGCAGGCACGCGAGATCGTACACGCGTGCGCATGCACGCCCCCCCCCACACACACACACACACACTCACACACTTTTGCGCGGCCGCGGCCTCGCGCGCGGCGACGAGGCTCGGCAGGTCGAGCAGTCGGAGCGCGCGGCCGTGCCCTCAGACGCGGGACAACTCTGCATCGGCCGCACATACCACCCGGGCAAGGTGGGGAGTAAGAAGACACACACACACACACGCACGCACGCACTCACACACGGACACACTGACTGAACGGGCGAAGAACGGTATACAATAAACTTTTTCGCTGTCGGGGACGCCTGCCCCAGGGCGGCTGGAAAGTTTATACCCCTACGGTGCCACCGTAGGGGCATAAACTTTCCAGCCGCCCTGGGACAGGCGCCCCCGACAGCGAACAAGTTTATTTTATACCGTTCATCGCTCGCTGACTGACGCACGCACAGTTTTCCCCCAAACGCGCGGCCGAGTCCAAACCGCGGAAGCGACGCAGCGTGGCACGCTCGCCTCGAATAGATGTTCTTCTGACTTCCTTGCGAAAAGGTGCGAAACACGCGGCACGAAACGCGCCGTGAACAATTCAACCGAAGAAGAAGGCGGGGAGAAGGAGCGGGGCAACCGAAATGGCGCACGCACACACACACACACTCACACGCTTTTGAGACACCTTCACGCCGTCTAATATGACATGGTGAACGCCCATTAAATACTCAGAGAGCCTCCAGCCTGAACATGGCGCCGGCGGGAATACCGCATACCGGGAAATGAGAGCTCAAGAGGGAAGCTGGGCAACAGCGCAACTTCGTGGGCGGAAGCATACAAGATGCAGACTGCGGCGGCTACATCATGTCTGAACCTTGACTGACTACCTACCTGACCACCCCAACCCACCAACCCAACCCGAAGACCCGAATTTCGGGTTGGGGGGGTATGGGCTTCATTTATGGTTTTTCAATGTTCGCCGACCCCCCCCCTCTGAAAATGGAGGGCAAATCGGGGCCATCGGGTTAGGATGGGGTGGTATGGTGGGCGGTGATTGTCTAGAGGCTACGAAGAAGGCAACCCTTCAGAGAGCCAGATGGCAGACACAAGTGGAGCTCCACGTCTTCGGTCGGCATCCCCGTCGGATGATGATCTGATCTTAAATTGGTGGGCTGTGGCTCTCGACCAGGCCAGTTCAGACCTTCCTCTCCGGCGCCAGCGGGGTCGTCTCGTCGGCCGCCTTCTTCTTGCCCAGGGGCGCGCCCGGGAAGTTGCCGTAGCCGACGCCTGGCATTAGGTCGGGCGTTTCCTCCTACAGGCGGGCTTCGGAAGAAAAATAGAAAATACCCAACATATGTGAAATTAAAATCAAAAATCATAACATAATCGTCCGAGACTATTCTTTAAAAATAACTGAAAATTTCCTCCTGTACAGGGACAGCCCCGACTGAAGCCTAGCATCTTCTCGAAGAGCTGCACCACCTCGTGATCAGGGCAGACCTTCATGAACGACCAGAAGAACACGCCGCTCAGCGTAACGGTGAAGGAAAGCCACTGCTTGTGCGTGATTGTGTCGTGGAACGCCATTGACGAAAAGACAACCAGGGCGATGTCCTTGACGACGCCAGTGATGATGAAGCCCACTGCCGATGTCTCAGTAATCACCTTCGCAATGCAGACGTTAAGGCAGAAGGCCAGGCAGGCGTTGGGGATGAGGTACGGCCACCACACTGCAAGATCGGTGAGGACGGAACTGTCCCATGTCAGAATGTTGCCGCAGATGAGGACGACGAGGCAGACGGGGGCCATGAAGAAAGTGTAGCTCAGGGAATCAAGCCTGAACTCGCTGCCCGTGAGCACGAGCTCAGCGACAACAGCCCTCATGCACTCAGCCAGCTGAGAGAAGCCCTGGAGCATGAAGCCGATGAAGACGAAGTTCAGCTCCCCCGACACGCAGAGGGAGGAGCCCAAGATGACCCAGGCGATCACGACCGTGCGCTGGCGATTGAACGTCTGCAGGCCAGCCAGGGCCGAGAAGGTGAACACAAGAACCACGTTTGCCTCCTTTTGGGAGCTGGGCGAGAGCTGGCAAATCCGTGGCTCCTAAAACGGTCTTCCCGGAAGTAACAAGTTCGCAGAATCGAGCACAACGAACTAGATAGTACACGTGCTCCTTCCCAGAAGAACGAAATCTCCTGGAGCTCCGTTTGAACAGCCACGCATTTGCCAGCCGTCCCTCGGCTTCAGATCCTTCATGAACTGCAGGAATGCTACGCTGCAGTAGAGGTAGGCGCGGTTGGATCCGTACAGCATGATCGCGAAGAGAAAACCAATGGGCGCCAAATCCGACACCCTGCCGCGAGGCACGAGTTGGAATGTCCTCAGGCCTCATGCCGCCCTCCGTCCGCAAGACTGACGGACTCAGCGGCCCGGACCCTACACCTCCAAGGGCTCCCTGCGTGCCCCGGGGCCCCGGTGCGTCCTCTCGTGTGCCTTTCCCTTTCGGGCCTAGAAGGGGCCCAGCACGGGCCTAGCGAGCTCCGAGAGAAGCACGGAGGCGGGATGGGTCGAAGGCGACAAGATACTTGTACAATTTCTTCATGTTCCCCTTGCTCTTCTCCACTCCAGGCATTGCGGACGGCCGAACCAGCAGAACAACGGAACAGAGCACCAGGCTGGCGAACATGTGCATGGCAGTCAGTGCCATGGGGTGTGGGAAGCGACCCTTGTGCATGAGGTACTTGTTGAAGTTGATGAGACCGCCACTGAGCGCAATGTAGACACTGCACAGGGACAACGTCCTCAACACCGGAGCCATGCTGATGCCCGACATCCTTCCTTCGCGGGAGAGCTGAACTCAGCCTCTGACAGGGCTTACGAATGTTACGGAAGTGTATCAGGAGTGAGTCAGAAAGCGTGGGCCAAAAATGATTGATCCCAAGGCGGCCGCGGAGGAGGCCACCGTACGGAGGAGGCGGAGGAATATACCAAACATGATGCGGATGAGGCAGGCGAGCACAAGAAGTAGGAGGAGGCGGTGGCGGAGAGGGGGGAGAGGGGGAAGGCGGACGCGGAACTAAGGGAGAAAATAAGGAGGATGAAAAGGAGGAGAGGGAGTGAAGGAGAGGTGGACGAAGAGAAGGATCAAGGGGTGCAAGAGGCAGAGGGAGGAAATGATGGGCGAACTGCATCGGCCATCTGACGCGTTCTCGTGAGATCGATGGCAGCGCCAGAGGGCCGCTGATAGCACAGTGGGCTCCAAATAGCTGCGAAGAGGTGCAACAAGGACGCGCGAACGCCTCCTTGCGTGCCCCAACCGTCCTCATCAATACCATGCGCCTTCTCGTCCATTGAGGTCCACGCCAACACCACAATCAAACAACAGGTCGAACCATGCCGAAATCGATAACGACCGACGCCACCAGGCCTAAGAACAACCGAATTGGACGTATCGACGCGACCGCCGACCGAAATGGACCGACTGAGCTGAGCCGAGTGCGGAGCAGCCCAACCGACCAAACCGAGGACGCCCTCGTGCTCTTCTCCGTCCTCGGCGGGGGATTCTCAGATCGAGGACCGAAGCTCGGAGACGTGTCCCGACTGAGGGAGGGAGGAGGGAGGAGGGAGGAGGGAGGAGGGAGGAGGGAGGAGGGAGGAGGGAGGAGGGAGGAGGGAGGAGGGAGGAGGAGGAGGAGGAGGAGGAGGAGGAGGAGGAGGAGGAGGAGGAGGAGGAGGAGCCCCCCCGAGGTGGCCACTGTCCTCCGACTCGGGTGTCCCACCAAGTCCGAAGAGGCCTCGGGGACGAGCCCCAGCAGCAGCCGGAAGCCGACTCGGGGAGGACCACACCACGGCCCTGCCGTCGGGGCCTCGACCTCAGGAGCCCTGAATAAGGAACGAGGCCGCTTTTTTTCCATAAGTTAAACTTCGACTTCCGATCGAAAACAGCAGGAGAACCTGAGGCAACATGTGAGACACTTAAGGGGCACGGAGCCCCGCCCCAACGAAAAGGGTTCCTTCTTCAGGGCCCCGACTGTAAGACTGTTGCGAGGGCTCGGCAGAACCATCGCGCCCGAGGAGGCACCAAGACCCCAACGGGCCCCCCAGAAGCCCTCGAGGCCCCCCCGAGCGGAAGACGCCAAGAACCCCCCCACAGGCCCATGTGAGCTTCTAAGAAGCCTCATAGATGCACGCAGCAGTCCTGAACTACGGCGACCACGCCACGCCACGTCATCGTCGGAGCGAATGCTACTCAAACTGCTCGGTGGCGACTCTACACAACAGAAGCATCGCGTCCTACACGGCCCGTGCCCCCCGCCCTGATCGTCGCCTGTCCTACCTGATGGTGCAGCTGAAAAGAGTTTGCAACATGCGCATCTCACCTTATTAACAAACACGTGCGCAATAAATGCTGACAAAAGTTACAGGGGTTGAGGGTGACTGCCTTTCAGAAAGTTGCTCACGCATTAGCGCCACCCGCAGTCGCCGTAACAGCTCCCAACAATTATACGGATGGAGGGCGGCTCTTTGTTCAATTAGAAAGCGTCACTTGATACGTCACTGTTAAAGAGCTACACGGATGGAAGGCGTCTCCTTTTTACCTCAGGGCTCGCAGTGGATACTTCCGCAGGTGTCATTCCCTTACTCTGCTTGTACGTTTGCACGGATTGAGGGCGGCTCTTCTCGACCCCAGGATACCGCCGTCATTGTACATCGAATGATAATGTATGTCAGCTCCTCTTCAAAACTAGGCTCTCGCCAGATGTGCGAAAGCATTGCTCGCTCGTCTTCCAGGGGAAACCTCCCACTGTAAGCATATTTCTGTAGCGGCTTATGAAGTGGGAGCGTGGGGCGGGTGGGCGTATTGCAGCATCGTTGATGCATCTTGAGCTTACTAGAAATGATCTTTCGGCCCCTGCTGTTCTTCATCCTCCTCATCAGCATCAATCTAATTCCCCCCCCGCCCCACGCCTCTCACTTACTCCACCTCCCCCCGCCATTTCCCCCCCTACCCTTACAGGATCGATGCGGCCAGAGCGGCAGGAGGAAGAGGAGGAGGAAAGGGAGGAGAAGAAGGAGAGGCCAGAGAAGAACAACGAGGACGAGGAGGAGCGCACGCAGCTTGAATCTACGGAGGAGGATAGCATGGGAAGAAACTGGAGGAGGTGGCAATGCCGTTCCTTCACACACTCCCCCCGCCCACCCCCGCCCCGAGGGGGCGGCAGAGGAGGAGGAGGGGAACGGCGCGGCCGCCGCGCCAGGCCCGCGAAGCAAGCCAGTGGCAAATCTCGCAAGCCAGCGCGCGCGCGGTAGGGGATCACATCAGCGCGCGCGTGCGCCCCGAGCGGGAGCACCTGGACGCGAGATGAGCCCGGAGCGGCGTGCGTCGTAATCGAGTTCAACGCCCTGGTCCACAGAAAAGCAGAGAAACCTCTAGAGGAGCAGCTGCGGGGGATGAGGGGCACGGCACGGCCGCCGGACGCAGCCAGACTGCACCGCGGCGAGCAGCGCAAGCACGTCGTCGCAGCCCTCGGGCGGCCTGGCCGCCGCCCTCCTGCGGCGTCAGATGAGCGCTTCTCTTATCCTCCCTCCTTCCTCCAAGCCTTAAGTCGGGCCTGTCCCCCTACAGGCCCTACAGGCCGATTTGGGGAGAAACATGTAGAAATAGATCCAAAATAATTCAAAACGTGCTCATAAACGGTTAACTATGTTTCAACATTATGTTTGAATATCCCTCCTGTAGAGGGACAGGCCCGGCTTAATCCTAGCCTCTCCTCGTCCCTCATCCTCCTGCTCCTCGACCTCCTGCTCCTCCTCCTCCTCCTCCTCCTCCTCCTCGGCACCGGTGTCCACATCCCCCCACTCCCCCTTAACTCCACCCTTGTTCCCCCTCGTCCGTTTTCCAACTCTTACGCTTCAGTCGGGCATGTCCCTCTACAGGGAAGATGCTCAAAAATAGCATGCCTGGTCTATGTTGACATATTTTGCATATTTTCAACTTTTCGCCCAGCCCCCCTGCAGGGGGGACAGGCCCGACCTAATCTTACGCCGCCCTTTCCTTACCCCGCAGGCGCGCACATCGGCAGTCTGGGACTGCATCGCCGAGTTCGAAACCAAACGTCTGGTCAGCGAACCGTTTCCAATGGGCTGGGGTTTGGATGTTCTTATACACGCTGAGGGTGTATTTGTCCGTTTCCAAGAACGACGTTGTTTATGTTTTTGGGGCGATGTCTCCTCCGTCTGGGGATTGCCATCTCGCCGTTTTCGTCTCGTTTTTGCGATCCGTGTTCTACTTCTCGTTAACTGAATCCTTGTTGCGGCTTTCCGTTTATGATATGCTTGTTTCTGTTATCGGTTTTGTATTTGTTTTATCTGTGTTGGGTTGCTGTTTGTCGTTCGTTTTGGGTCCAGCCAGCGTCGCGTTTGTTTTGCTGTGGGTTGCCGTGCTTTAGTTCTCTGGCTTGGTCAACCGCAACGCGAAAAGTGGAAAACGGAAGCACCACGCCCCAAGCGTTGTCAAAAACAACTCAGGGACGGGTGGCTTCTGGACTGCCACTCGTGGACCGGCACGGCGACGCTTCCCCCTGGTTGGGCCGCGGCGCAAGCCAGCCGCTGTAGCTCAGCTCCTGCCTTGCAAAAAACATGTGCTTTGTGGTTTTATTGATATTGATATGAACCCCCCAAAAAAGCAAACACGGACCTCGGCTTCGCCGCTTTCCCCTCCCCTCTCCCTCCTGTCCCCCCCCCGCTCTTAACCGCAATGCGGAGTGCTACGTAGATCCACCAAGTCAGTCCCAGCTTCTCTCCTTGGACAAGGACGAGGAGGAGATGGATATGGACGGGAATGCTCAAGAAATGGAGGAGGACCTCGGGAGGGTGAGGCCTCCCCCTTGGAGAAGAACGGGGAGCATCGAACATACCATCAGCCGTAGATTCTGTGCTCGCGCAGTGGGAAAACTCGCGCAGTGGGAGCTCTGCAGGGGGAGTCCAGGGGACGCGGGGGGGGAGGCCTCCACTCGCAGATGTTAGGCGATGCAGAGAAAAAGGGGGTGGGCCGACGGGTGTTGAGGTCTAAGTGGACAGGGAAAATCTTGAAGGGACGGGGAGCCACTACAAAGCCTTCTCTGAATGCGGGACGGCTCCCCCAAAAACCTGCTGCACTAAAACAAAAAATCGGCTCCAAACGTCGTCTTCCCAGGTCCCCAAACTCGGGGGCGTCCAAGAGGGGGGCGTCCAAGAGGGGGGGCACGTGCGCGGCACGTGCGCGGCCCATCGGGGGGGGGGGGCGGGGACGTCTTGAAATAAGAAGAGGCGCCATGAAACCTGGGGAGATATCATGGCCCAGGCCATGATCGCCACACCCCCATACGTAACCATCATCCCCCTCTTCGCCGCCCCCGGCACACCCGCCGATCACAGCTCCTGAAGCTCCTCCTCCCCGGGCTCCACCCTGGCCTCTGCCTTCTGATCCGCGCCCTGGCCCCGAAAAGAAACTACTGCATTGCGCCTTGCACCTCAACGTCGCAACGTCAGAAAGACGGAACTAGGGGGAAAACAAACCTACCTCGCTTTTGACCACCCTCGCTTCCAAGAGATGCCAAACGATGCCAAATTGCAGCCTGTACCGGTCAGGCCGCTTGACGAGGAGGCACGTGGTATGGTTTGGTTTTGCCTGGAAGCGAAAGAGGGGTAGGTCATTCACGCTCTGAGGAACAACTGGTCAAACTTGTAGAAGAA